ATTATTTTAAGCTATGTTTCTTCAAAAAAGTTAGTTAATGTCATTGTGATATACCATATTAGAATGATAAAACTATTATTATAATATTATTTGATTGATCATCAAATAGGGTATGAATATGAAACCAATGAAGATAAATTGTCTGTTGTTTCTAGTATTGACTCTTTTCAGAAGAAATATAGATTTTTATGAAGTTTTTTATAATTATTGATTTTGCCACCATTTTGGTTGCTAAGTGTAGCTAGGATAAACGTCACATCCGGTGAAAAGAGCATAGGCGCATCCTGTTTTGTATCCACTTGGTATATATACCGTGATTTTCAGGTTGCTTGACCCAATTTTCCTACTTCCTGCTCACGTGACATATATTATTAGTATGGGGAAAGTCACGTGATTACGAGTTTGCAAGGTCAAGCAACCTGCAAAGCACGGTAGTATCTATGGAATTGGAACAAGTTGATGTAGGGCAGTATACCAGACTCTCTCCCCGCCACCCCCAAGTCAAAAAGGGGAGGAGTCTGGCTACGCGAGACTACTGTTATACCTGGTAATCAACCAATAACTGGTATTATTTATTTTAATTTATAATGATTTATTTTAGATGCTGTTCTTGATGCTGCTCCTAAAATAATGAAGGTGGTAAAGTTTCTAAAACCGTTTGAATCACAGTGGTGTATGATAAGATTATGCCTTGAAGTAGATTTAGATGAAGATGAGCTAGTTATTAAAAAACACCATGACAACAGTTCCTGTCAAGGGCGTAGCTAGCATAAGGCTAGGATAGGCTATAGCCTACCCTGAAGTTCAAAAGTCAGAATTGAAGTTTAGTAGTTTACCTATATTGAGTTTCTGCCTTAGTCACTTATGATCAAAGATTATAGAAGTTTAGGGTAGCTGTCTCAACTGGCAGTTACTCACTCAGTCACTTTTGACACAGGCAAACAGAGACAGGAGAAAGAAAAGAAAAACAGCCATTTTAGCACAATTATTATAATTTATTAAAGTGGAGTCTTTACATAAGTAACTTAATTAATTAGCTAGCTTAATAAAATTATAAAAAGTTAACTTTAAGTGAAGCTATCACAATGTCAGCTGCAAAGAAACAAAAGCTTTGTGATTTTTTATGCAAAATTTAGTTGAGTATATTAGTAGTCAACCCCAGCCATATAGACTATTTGTACTGAAGATGAGCATGAGGAGATTGAAGATGATGATCTTGTGAATGATGATTTTGTTGATTGTGCTGCTACCTTGAGTCTTGCCTGAGTCCTCCATCTGAGTCTGAGTGGGAAGCAGTCAGTCGTGACGCCAATGGTACCGGAAGTCATAAGAGCCTGTATAATTTTATTGTAATACACTTGACAGTATGAATAATTAATGAGTTGCTACTTTATTTTATATTTATTTTTCATTTAATAGTTTTACTATGAAATTTGCATACAATACACAGAACATACATATTATCATCATAAAAAAACATCAACCAGTTTAAATAAACTATAACAGAACTGCAAGCAACTGATGTCCTTGACTTTACCGGATGCGTACAGTGTTCTAGACAACTCCAGCTTATTGTCCATTTGCTTACAACAAGATAGTAGCTAGAAGAATATACTCCAGAAGTTTAAAGTTGTTCCAGCAAGAAATAAGGATGCTGTGGTCTCTGAAAGTCAATGGCACATAATATGACTATAATGACAAGTATAAAATCTAACTCTAAAAGGATTTCAAACAATTCTATTGAGGTAAAATGACTTGATTAATGATCCTGAGTGTGAAATCTGTAGAAAAAAGGAACAGAACAGTCAAAAT